GTGAACCTCAACCCATGTTTGGATAGGCTTTTTGGTGATGTATCTGCTCTTCGGAGTTATCGCTGCTCCTATAACTAATTCCTGGCCCATGCTCCTGTTAGCAACCCCAGTTAAAACTCACTGCTTCATCAAGTTGGATTTCAGGTGAAATCATTACTTTGGTTTGTGTGATGACTTTCTGTGGTGAGTAATTTTCTGTGGTGTGTGTGTGTGTAAGAAACAAAAACATTTAAGATGTTCTTTGTTGTAGGATTAATTATCACTATTTCATATGGGCTTTTGATGAAATTCAATGAATAATGAAAAAGATGGTGAGGTGTTTATTGATGTAGACTTAACACGGAGATTTCAAAGTAGCTGGAAATCTGTGAAGCAGGTGAACTCCGTTTCCTATTGAACACAACAGATTAAACACACATATTCACCTTTACTTCTTCAAGTAATGTCTATAAAACAAAAGTAAAATGCTAAAACAATAAAGGCAAGTGGATTGGGTGTAAGAACAAAGTTTTGGATGATGAGAGATGGAAAACAGACAGACTTCGGCAGAGAAAGGTGAATTCTAATGCTGGCCAGGAGACAAAGGTAACAGGACTGATAATTTTTGTTTTAGCAGTTCCTGAAAGGAGGCTAAAAATTGGGAACAGGGGTTGGGAAGACGGTTCAGTGAGTAAAGCACTAAAGGAGCATGAGGGCCTAGGTTGGAAAACCCTGGCCACATAAAGCCAGATGCAGTGGCTGTAAAACTCAATGCGCCTGTAGCAAGACAGGAAGCAGAGAAATGAGACTGAAAGATCAAGGGCCAGTTAGAATGGGGTCCAGTGGTAAATGATGAAGAGATCCTATCCCAGCCAAAGTGTAGGGCATGACCTGACACCTGATGTTGTCTTCTGACTTCCACATATGAACTATGACATACATGTGCCCACATTCACGCACATGAATGTGTGTGTGTGCGCACATGCATACATATACCATACACACAGAGATGAAACTGGAAGCCGCAGTATAAACCTCCATGTGGAAACTGGGTCAGTTGACAAGCAAGTGACTTCAGCAGGGCTTGGGGCAAGGAGGCAGTCTGACCTGATGAGAGAGGACTGGAAATTCATATTCTGCAGAAGATGAATAATGGGGGCTCAGACTTCAGTACTGCAGGCATACTGAGGCCCAGGGGACATGTCTCCCAAGAAAAGGCAAAACAAAGCCAATAAATTAGCCAATGTGCTAAATTGCACGTTGTGCTAAAATGGAGAAGAGGAAAGTTTGGGTGTCAACTTATAAGCAGCGTATAGAAAAAATACACCAGGACCTGAAAAAGAAAATAAAAGCAAGCTTTAGCTGCAAAGGAACAGTTTTATAACAAAGAATAAAAGAAGTGGAATCATAGCACATCACACAGCCCCGTGTTACAATGTGTTGCCATAACTCTATAAAAACGAAATGTATATTCAGTAAGAATCATGATATAAATACACTTGAGAGTTTAGGAGTAAGAAAAATGTATACATAGCTAGTGTAAGAGAACTCTCACCCCATCCCCAAAAAAGGGGGTCAAACCAAAAGGGAAATATTAAGGTCAGCATATTTAAACAATAAACACATATTTTTCCAGGCAGTAGACCTATTTATTTGCCTTCTAATGTGCTGCAGGAGCACTGATTTTCACGACTGCTTCTATTATCAGACACAGTGAGGAGTTTATTGTCGCAGTATGGATGGTGGGGAGAGTCAGGAGGAATTTATGTTGTTACAATCCTTGTAAAACTGAAATATTTAACTCATACTTTCCTTGTCTAGTATTTTGATTTGAGGAAAAACTGTAAGTTCTAGAGATATTTGCATTTGAAGCAAAAAAAAAATAAAAAACAAAAACTGGATACTTTTCTAATATACTATTCACTATTTCCATACACATAAACAGGCTAGTTCATGATACAGCTAGTCTAGTGCCTGGAAAATATAAGTGAGGGTTAGTATTTACAATTATTTTCACTTTGACACTTTCAAATAAAACCTTGCCTCTTTGGTTAGCATGATCATTTTCCTAAATTACTAAGCACAAGTGTTTCACTAAAATGAGTTATGTTAGGCCAACTCCGAGGGTTTTTACTGTTGAACAGGGACATTTGGCGATGCCTCAAAGGGGCTGGTGGATGCTTCTGGCATCTGGAAGGTCAAAGTCCACGATGATGCTAAGCCTACTACAATGAATGAAGCAAACTCCAGAACAAAACTCCACCCAAATGTCAACAGTGAGGAGGCTGAGAAATGGAGCTCCAAGTCTTTGAGGATTATTTCATCAGAAGTCTCTACATAATGATGATACGCAAACGTCTTGTAGTTCAGGGCTGACTCAGGTAAATATAACGTTGGTAGGAGGCCGGGTTGTGAAATGTATCTTTGGGAATACTGAGAATGGTAAAGCCGAGACAAAAGGTATAATAAGCGATAACAATAACAAAATAGGGTGCTTTGTACCTTACTAATCTCTTTCATCCGTGATTCCCTGGACACTTTATAGACTAGTAACTGCTATGGTTCTCACGTATTGCCTTTTATCTAAGGACCTGAGGCACTTTCACAATGCGCTTACGATGTAGGAAGTATCATTATCCCATTTTATATGCAGGTAAACAGAGGCACAAAGGTTAAGCAACTTACCCAAAGCCTAGCAAGCCAGCACTCCTGACTCAGACACGATTCATGCTAAGAGATGCGGTGATAAATTCATATTCATAAGTGTTACCCTTGTTCGTTCAAGGTATATCGTTTTCGAGTTAATATGTATTCATTACCTCGTCTTTTTCCTCCCCTTTTTTCTTTTTTACTTCCTGCCTTTCCAGACAGAAAGCCGTGACAGTTGATATCTTATTAACAGGAGTGGTCCTTGAATCAAGCACGCTATAATCAGGGTCAACTCTTAAAACAGCTTTAAAATATGTGGTACTGTTACTGATTTCATAGTAAAGAAAGCTACTGAATTTCAGAGATTTTTAAACATAAGCTAAAAATCTGTGCGGTGATTTACATATGTGTATCCAGGCCGAGCCTGATCTCTCCCCGCACAGTCGACCGTGCCTCCAAGAGCGAACTCCGTTAAGTGTTAAGAAACGCACGAATGTCAACATTTTATAGTCAGTCTCCATCTCGCCTCAGAAAACAAAGCAAGGAGGGAAACTTCTGTGGCACACCTAAGTTGGTAGCAGCTAGGCTCACAGTCAGCCTGTTTTTAATTCTTCTCTCAGGGTGAGGCCTTTCACCAAGCCACTTTCTAAGCTCTCTGCAAGTTAACCGTTTGTCCAGCCCAACAGGCCGACCAAAGAGACGGGAACTGCTCCTGAGAAATGCAGAGCCGGTGAGTCACTGCTGCCTGTTCTCATCGCTGTGGCAGGTAGCCGCTGCCTCCGGACCTGCATCGTGCCACCCGAGCAAAACGACAAAGAGGTGTGATTAGGTCAGCCCGTGTAGCCCACGACTCTCACTTTTTTTGGAAAACGAAGGCACGGTGTGGCGGCCCCTGACAACCACGCACCCCGACCTTACTCGGATTGGAGAGGTCAGCGGTAGCCCACTCAGCCCTGACGACTCGCAGGTGAGGATGGACTCAGCCCTGGGCATAGCAGGGATGCAATAAAGGAGACTCTGCAGCTCTCCGCCGTCGGTGGGAAATCTGATGCTGCTCTGCCTACAAGCGGCGTAGAGACAGCGTGAAGATGGGCTGAAGGGCCCACACAGGAAGGCACGGAAGGGAATCACGACCGGCTAAGAGCTCGAGAGAGTAACCACCTCCTGATAATTCGTCGATCGTTTCAGCCTCTTCTTTCCGCTACCTCCCTTTTGCCAGGACCCTCGCCGTGGCTGAAGGGGCTCGCTGGGTTTCCCAGCCCCCTACCCGCCACCCCTTGCATAAGAAAAGGAGGAAATTGGCGAGGGGAGAGGGACGCCAGGGTATTTCCCCACCCTGGCCAGCCAGGTCCTGAATCATCACTCTCTGGTAGCACTTTCCTTCAGCAAGTCACAACTTTCCCTAAAATAACACGCTCTTGTACTTAAAAGGAAGAGTGGTGGGAGACCGGAGAGGCGGGGAAGAGTGCGGAGAGGGGCGTGGACCGGCCGTCCCCGCCCCAGAATCTGAAGAGTCCGGAGCGGCGGCCGGGAACCGCTGCGGGGCCCCGGGATGAGCTGTCCGCGCTGCGGGCGCCCCAGCCGCGCCCGCGGAGGGAGGAGGAGGCCCAGCGGCGGGAGGGGCGGGGCGCGGCGCACCTGAGCGCGGAGGGGCGGGGCCTCGGCGGCGCTCCCGCCCCCGCCCGCTCCCTCGCCGCCCCGACTCGGCCCTTTCCGTCCCGCTTCGGCCCCGCTCGGCTCCCGCCCCCCTCCGCCCCTCGCTTTCTCCCTCCCTCCGGCCAGGGACTGCCCCCGAGCTCAGGCCGGGCGAGTTGGCGGCAGCTGGTCGCGCGCGTCCCGTGCGCTCCGGCTCACCTGGACAACCCCCGTCCCACCCCCGCCCCGCGCCTCGTCCCACCTAAACTCCTCCGAGGTAAGGGGGCTCTCCCGGCCGCCCGCCGCGGGACGGGCGCGGGGGACCCCTCTCCGCTGTTCGTGTCCCCTCCGGTTCCAGCCGGCTGGGGGCTCCATGCCCCGTCCGGGAATGGAGGAGGAGTCCGTAGCAGCGCGGAGCTCGGGCCCGCGCGGGCGGAGAGGAGTCGCGGGGGAGCTGGGCACACAGGTGGCAGCGGCGCGCGGCGGCGGGCCCGGGTGGGACGGGTCGGGCTCGCGTCTCCTCCTCCTCGCCCTCCCCCCGGGGTCGCGGATCTCCGGGCGCGGGGCGCAGAGGTGCGCCCTGCGAACCGGTAGCCGGGAGGGCGCGGCGATCGCCGCCCCGGGGGCGCCCCGGGACCTGACTTCGCTCTCTCCCTCCCCTCCGCCCTCCCGCCCCGTGTGCTTCCTTGCAGAGCCTCGGTCGCGCCGCGCGGCCGCCCCGCGCGGTCCCACTCGCCCTCTCGCTCCCGGGGGAGGCGGCGGCGGGACTCGCGGCGGTGAGGGGCGCCCCCGCTGGCCCCTCTTGGGAACATGGCGACGGGCGGCTACCGGAGCGGCGGCGGCGGCGGCACCACCACGGACTTCCTGGAGGAGTGGAAGGCGAAGCGGGAGAAGATGCGCGCCAAGCAGAACCCCGCGGGCCCGGGTCCGAGCGCCGGCGATGCAGCCGCCAAGTCCCCCGCCGCCGCGGCCGCCGGGACCTCGGAGCTCAACCACGGCCCCCCGGGCGCGACCGCACCTGCTGCCCCCGGGCCCACCGCCCTCAACTGCGCCCTGGGCCCCTCCGCGCTGCCCCGCGCGCCCCCGGGGTCGCGGCGGCCCGAGGACGAGGGTCCCGTCCCCGCCGCCGCCGCCGCCGCCGTCCCGGGGCCCCCGGCCAGCCGGGCCGACGAGGAGGAGCCCGACGGCGCCCCGGAGAAGGGCCGCAGCTCGGGGCCCAGCGCCAGGAAAGGCAAAGGGCAGATCGAGAAGAGGAAGCTGCGGGAGAAGCGGCGCTCCACCGGCGTGGTCAACATCCCCGCGGCCGAGGTGAGCCGGGGCGGGCGGGCCGGGGCGGGGCGCGGAGGGAGCGCGGCCGCCTCCCGACTCTTCCAGCAGGGAGCTCCCTCGGCCCGGTCCCCGAGTTCCCTGGAAGCTTGCCGCTGTGACGGGGTCTGACTTGGAGCAAACCATTCCTGCAAGTGTCCCCCCCCCCCCCATTAGTAGGACACGTGCTTTCCCCCCCCCTCCCCTCGGAACCCGGTCACTGCCTTAGAGTGACGGGCAGCGTGTGCCCCCCGCCCCCACACTAAGATTTGGCAGCCCGGGCTTGTCCGTGTGGAGGTGATCAGTTAGGAAAACCGAGTCCCGGGGGGGATGACGTCTTCTGGTCTCCCACGTGTCCACCTCGGACTATCGGGTTGTTCTATCTCGGCTCCCCTAGCAGTGTTTACCGGGAGGACACCTGTGAAGCAAAGCGTAGCCTTGGCGGTAGCTCAGGCGGCTTATCTCGCGGTAAACCCGAGAGGAGCGCGTCTGGATAGGAGTCCGCGGGGGAGCACGGCCGTCCCCGCCCCCACCCTGCCCCAGCGACGTTCTGGACAGCAGGGAGGCCGGAGCAACCACCCCTCCGAAGGCTCCGAGACTTCTTGCGGTTATTGAACTGTCAGGGAAATACTTGCGAGGGGAGTGTGTGCTCTTGTGTTTGGGGGGTATTTTTGGTATTTCACCAAACATGTCTTCAGGCGGCAGCAGGAGCATTTTATTAGAGGACTGCTTTAAAGATTTTTCTTTTTTTCCCTTCACGGAAGTATGTAATTGCCCCTCCATCTACCTGAAAGAAAGCAACTCCAAAACCGTTTGGGGGAAGCGGTCTGACCACTGTGCTTCACTCGAGGAAGCCACATCTCTTACTCGGTGGCTTTTTAGTTTTTACCCTCCGCCCACAACTTCTTTATACTTGGCCTTTTTATCCATTAGGTGACTGACAAAGCGTTTACTGACTTTGGGCGGGGAATGTAGCTTGGTGATAGAGCGTTTGCAAAGCGTGCATTGAGGCCCAGTGTTTGATCCCCAGCACTGCCTAAACAAACCAAACCAGAACAAAACAAAACACAAAGCCACATTAAAAGCCAGGCATCGGGGCTCATACCTGTAATTCCAGCCCTTTGTGGCTGAGGAGGAGAGATGGGCAGTTTTGAGACTCTTCAGGGTGACAATCTCCACACCCAACCCCCACCAGTTTACTAACTCTAATTGTGGTTGAGGTAATTTGTAGTAAGTAGTGTATTAGAATTATAAATTTAACTATTAATACGATTTTCATACCTAGGGGATCAGAGTATGTCTCTGTAGGGTCTAGTTTTGTACTTTTATGTGAATGTTTCAGAGAATTTTATCAGCCAGAGCAACTGTCCTTGTGGTTTGCTACTTGTTCAAGATATCTGTTACTCATTAAAGTTGCTTTCAGAGGAATTCGTAAGAATGGTAATCAAATTTCCAGGTTTCTTTTTCTTAATGTAAAAATATGAAAATTGAGGAGACTTGAAGACAAAGCTTTGGAAAGACTACAGTTCTCAGCTTTATTTTTAAAGGCAGCTTATGGTCCAAATAAAAGAACTTGTCAGTTTTACTCTTTTTTTTTTTTTTTTTTTCTCCCCCTCATGGTTCATCTGACAGGGATCTTATTTTGGTAAATATGTTGGCAGATGTTAAACTTCATTCTTTTGGTCTGGCTGCTTGTGCTAAAATTATTTTTTAATTACTAAAAAAAAAACCCCAAAACAGGGAAAATAAGTAGGGTGTATCTTTTGAGAGCCTAAGAAACATCCTTTGTTAATGGGTCCTCCACTGAGCAAGGGAACATAGCACTGAGAATGTGAGGGTGTAGATGACTCCCTGTTGCAATGGAGTCTAACACTCTGGAATGTTTTTCGTTTGGGTGTTGGCAACTCCTAAATTTAATCTTCCTTAAAAACAAACAATGCAGGGTACCTTTTTTTTTTTTGTCTGTGGAATTTGAACCTTTTTTATTGAATAGGGAATTGAGGATTGCTTTCTTTCTAGTGGTAACCATGGCTTCGTTTCAAGCTGTAGGACCCAACAAAACAAAGTCATATTTTACCACAGTATCTAATTAGTAGGCATACTTCTCCAGTGTCTCCTTTCCTTGGTTCTAGAATTTTAGAACAGTTTTTTTTTTTTTTTCTAGATTGCTTTAACAGTTGGAGAATATATATTGCAGAACTTTGAAGCTGAACCATTTTCATATCTTTCGGGTTGTTGCTGTTTTAGAATTGTATGCGATGCCTTCTAGTTTTGAACAGTGAAAGCCACTTGCTGAAGGGCTTCATGGGTTCCGTAGTTTAGCTCTCCTGTTTTAGTAAGTTGTATTTTATAAACTTTTTAGATACCACCAACCTGTTGCTAGTGAAACAAAGAGATGTTTTGTCTCCTGTGGAGTGATGCTTGCATTCATTCACACAGTATTCCCAGCCAGGTTTACTCCAGATTACCCTGGAGTGTATGTAGAAGACACATTTCAGAGCTTGAAAAACATTATTCCTTCCAGAAGTCCGTACTCTTGGCTGTGGTGGTCCATGTTTTCAGTCTCTTTGTGGTTGAGGCCGGGAATACACAGTGAAACCAGCACCCTCCCCACCCCCAATATGGACACACTAAACATCCATGTGTTATATTTATTCTGGCTTTCAACAACTCACTTTATTATTCTATTGTGTTAGCCACAAAGGCTACAGGGAAACATTCCAGTATCAACCAGGAGGTAATTTATCGAGGAAACAGGTTAAAAGCTAAAACCACCTGATGCAGGATAGGAGACAAGGCAGGACTGTGGGAGTTTAGTCTAAAAGTCCAAATTTCCAGATATCCTTTCATGAGGCAAAATTTACTTTTCATAATTAGTTGTCTTTTCTTTTCTTAATTCCTCTGACTTTACGTTTTCTGCTATTCCTGTGCAGTAGTGACGAGCTCTAAGTTGGATAATTAGGACATAGCATACTACCTGCTTCTAGTGTTCAGGTTTTTCAAATCAGACAAATGATCATTACATGCCTGTCTTCACTGCCTTGTGTAACAACCTTGGCAAAACAACGAAGTGTGTGTTTGGAGAGAACAAGGCTGGAGTCTAGGAAGAGGGGTAAGCCATAGCTCTGATTTATTGGGAAAAACATGGGAGCGCAGCCTGCTGTTTGCTGGGATGCTCTACATTTCGAGGGAAAAGAGGATTGAGCTGGGACCAACTTGAGGATGAGGCTTTTGGGTTGAGAATATGCACGTGCATATTCTCATGTATGCTTGCACACAAATGTGGTATTTTAAGTGTCAAAGCATAGTGGTTCTTAACTTTGGCAGCCTGTTGGTATCATGTACGGAACTTAAAAAATAAATGCTCCCCCTGCTGATTCTTGGCCCTCCTGCCCTCCACTCCCACTCCCCTGTGATTTAATGGGTTTGGGAATGGAGCCCGGGCATTAATATTTTTATAAGCTCCCCATGTAGTTCTAATGGGAGTCAGGGTTAAACCCATCGGGTCGCAGCGTGGGGCTACAGAAGTGACTAGAACACAGCATTGTCCACAGGCATTCCCGAGTACAGGGAAACATGCTTAGGAATGGTGAGCATAGCTTCATCCCTAAGCAGCATACTTCCTTCAGAGAAGTGCTCAGGGCTTCTCAGACAGTTGTTTATCTGCTGTGTTTGCCAAGCAACTGCCCGAAGACAGTTGCCACAGAAAATAGGTGATGGTAGCACTGAAGGCTTGGTTTATGTTAAAAGCCAATGTCTATTTCAGCCTACTACCTGCATAGTGCTTGGCTAAAGTGCTTACTGTCATTGCAACGCTGTTATGTCGTTGCTCTCTATTCTAGTACCAGAGAAGAAAGTAAAGTTTAAATGACTCAGAGAATACAGACGTAAATGTGACACTTATTATATGCTGATTTAAAAAAAGATGCCACAGTGGTAGAGCAGTGTTTTAATGTTCTTGTGTGTGTATGTGTGTGTAAGAAAGACAGATTTGTTAAAAGAATTAACTTTGCATTATTTAGCATATTTCCTTATCTTTCTCCCCTCATGTTTTATTAAAGTTGTCATTAATTGTTAGGCCTTTGAAAGAGAGCCCATAAAGGCTTGGAATTGAATAGAAATTAAGCCAAATTTGTAGGCTCAGAGGCTGCTTTCTGATCCTTTGTAGTTTGCCTCTTCTGAAGCACTGAACAAGATTTTTTAACAACAGGGTGCTATCATAATTTAAAAAAAATATGAAATTATTTTTGTTAGCAATTCAAAAATGTATACTTTAATACTACTTAAATGATACATATTTTTTCCTGTCAAGATAGTGTTGCTACTGCATAATTTGAACTCAGGCCTTCAGAGGTGAGGCTGGAGGATCATTTACTATTGAGAGTGCTTTCACGTGAGTACTGTCCAGGAGGCAGTTATTCAGCAGATTTGCCGACCCACGCATGGGGTTTGTTCAACTTAGTGAACCTTATAAATCCTGGTAGGTTAGGAAATGGTTCTTACTACGTAGCAAGCCCAGTGTCCTAAGTGACTGCAGTGTTTGTACACTGTACTCCCATTCACGTGTCAGATTTTCTCCATCTCTGACTCACTGCTAGTGTCTCTCCTGATTCATCACCCAGAAAGGTGGACAGTCTGGAACACGATGGGAATACCAAGGGACTTTTCTTAATCTTCCGGAGGGTTTAGTAAGAGTGCTGATAGAAAATGTTTTGTAGGTTTAAAATTGTTGCTAAATATCTGGGCTCGCAGTTTTCTCAGGTTCCCCTTTAGTCTTTTAAAAGCAGAGTGATCCGCATACCATAAAATCCATCCTTTTATCAGCGTAGCTGCGGGCCTGGGGACCTATTGTTCATTGCTAGAGCACTTGTTAACATGCATGAGGCCCTCGGTCTGACTTCCAACAGAAAAGAAACGGGCAGTTCTGTTCCTTCACTGCGCGCATAGGCTGTGCTCTATAAGTGCTTTTGTCTTTTCATCTGGAATTTTCTTCACGTTATGGA